CTACGGCGATGCCGGGCGAGGATGGTGTATTCGGCGGCAGCTTGACGACTTTATGTAGCCTTCTCTCAACAAGACTTGATGCTCGGTTAGCGTACTCGTCGCAGTGGACTCGTTGCGTGGAGTGCCAAGAGCGATCCAGGTCTGCTTTTCCTCGCCAAATTCGGATCTACTTATACCCTGGTGAACCGTTTTTCTCTTACGAGAAAATAGGCCTCCTGGCGGATTGTTTAAATAATTTCTTTTTGCTCGTGCAAAGGTCGTTCTTTGCAGCGCTCTCGCGGGGGTTGCTCGCACTACGGGTAGCCCTTGTTCAGGCGCTACGCGTACGAATGGCGCGCGCGCGAGGCGGCGCGTACTTGTGTCGGTACAGCCGTACCGCCACATCACGTATTGTTATTTACTTTTATATTTATAAATAAATAATAGAGCGTCTGTATTACGGCATAAATCCCACGCGCTAAAAATGCTGTATATCCCAAACAGATGGGTTATACGAGATGTTATGTATAAACATCTGTTACACATAAATCATTCTACCGTACACGAAACCGAATGACGTGCTCTCTAAATTTTCTGGAGAATCTCACTCCAAAAGAGCGAAAATACTGTCACTCGGGGCCGTGTCCTCGGCACGGTATTGAGTCCGAAGGGAAACAGCTTCCACTCTGCCCGTTGGTCCTTGACGCCGCTGCCTGTCGCCTGAGAAGTCGGTACCGGCTTGGCCTTTGGGAACTGCCACTTGAGTGGCAGTATTTTCACTCCTTAGAGTCAAATTTCACTCCAAAAAATGTAGAGAGTGTCTCTATTACCGTCGCCAGTAGGCGACACAAATATGCGTATTAGACGAGTCTCACTGTCGCCAGTAGGCTACGCAAATATGGATTCAAAAGGAAAAGATATCGATCTATTTGTTTAGGTCATCCGGTCGTCTACGACAAAATTCATCTCCTCTCTCCCGGGACTCACCAACAGGAAGTCGAATCCACAGATTCGACTCCCTATAAAAGCGTTCTCGGGATCGATGCAATACACAGTCGATCAACGAATACGATACAAGTCAGTCTATACGACGCGACTCAAAATACGACTCTAGAATCATATAATACTAGGACTCAGGGTAAATTCGTTCATCCCTAGGCGTTGTCCTAGCGCGACTCAGGGTACTCGTACCCCTAGGCGTTGTCGCGATATACAAAATATATATTAACAACTTACAATCAGTGCAACCCGGGATAAATTCGTTTACCCCTAGACGTTGTCGCAATATTCTACTGTGAACTTCGAGTCAGTGTACAAATCATAAAAATAAACAATTTTCAAGCGAAACTACGCGTGTGATCTTAACCCATCCCACCGATACACATAACACGAGATAATAAACTGAACAAAGAATACAAGAGCTAAGCACTTGTATTTTGCTATACTCTATCCTTTACTAATCCTCTATACTTATATATCACGAAATAGCCACGAAGTCTTTTATATTTCCTAAAATAATCATTTTATGTAGATTATAATTTTTGATTGCGCTACTTATTACAGTGATAAATTGATTTAATTTACAATAATTTTATAAATATTAACAGAAAAAAACTGAAATCACAACACAATACTAATATAACATAAAGGCATGTAACAGAGTGGTTGCGAGAAAATTAGTTTCACTTCTGTTTTTTCTGACTTCTGCGGCGTAAATCCTCGCGCGGCATATATACCGGGTTCACTCTAATTATTGTTAAATTGTTAATAAATAGCAAAAAAGATTTTTCCTCCCTGTTATCAATTTAATTGAACGAATGATGGAAAGAATTACTTAATAATATCTACAAGATATGTTCTGCTTTTGTGACAGAAGAATCGATATTCTAAATTTCTAGAGTATTCTTATGTTATCACGGTTTATAATATTAATCTGCATACGCGAGAAATGTCTATCAAATTGTCGATTAGAGTTATGTATATATTTAAATAATGATAGGGGTGATGAGGTGGCTATCAACATGAAATTTTATTTTTTACGCAAAGAGCTTCCATTCAGTATTGCTTTGTCATGAGATTGTCACAAACAAATTTCAACTCGCAATCCTTGTATCTTGTTGTAAAAGTTATCGGTAATTTGGATTGTGAGTCCGAATCTTTGGTTTTCTATTTTGCAGCAACATTATTGTCAATATTGTCAGTATCGACTACTTTAATTCCAGTAGGATATTTCTTCTCGATCACGTCGATATAATAGTGTTGAGATATTGTATATCGCTAGTTAATTTTCGCGTTGTCCATTTCATGTAAATTAAAGATAACAAGCGCAAGTTTAACGCTTTCTCAAGTATGATTTTGATCCGTGCTCAAAATTATATCGTAAAGCGTATGATTTGTTTATACGTAATTAAATATCAATTGTATGCCGATTGTAGTTGCAAAGTATATACTCATAAATTGTTCGTCATCCTCCGCGTCATAAAATATATCGCATATTTTTTTACAATCTTATAAAAATGCCTCATTATATCGAT